GATGGTTGACATTATTCAAATGCAAGATTAGCGGTGTACGAATATTTTTTCAAATTTCTTGAACACATTTTGAAACAACTGAACAGTTTTTGAATGTATTGTAAATTTGTTTAATGGATGAATTCTTTTTTGTGAATTATAAGAACATTGTTTAGATTATATAACTTTTTCCGTACATACGATTACCATTTTCCATGCACATGATTGTGTTTTCTACTTTTTATGATTCACATTTAATTTTTTTTATTATACATCTAAAATATATTTTTATACACACTTACATTTTTATATGCGAGATTAACATTTTTTACAAAAAGTTAAACAAGGAAACAAAAATTTGAATAAAAAAATAAAGAAAGCACACGCACGCACGCACACAGCAATATGATGTCAGCAGACAAGCCGTGGATACTCGGCCAGCCCAAACTCTGCTATCAGGAGGCGAGCCTTAGTAGCACTCGAGGCGAGCGGCACCTAGCCGTGCTGTCTACAGACATGTTTTAGGGTATGTACAATGGTAGCATATGAATATAGATGCCTCATAATAAAAAGTAGGTTGAGGTATTTATATTGATATTTTCCTCCCCAGTGCAAGCTGCTATTAGTGAACATTATCAAAGAATATAAAGTGGACTCTTATTATACATGCATCCTTACTTTTTACTTCAACTTTTCCAATTTTATGCACGGGGCCGTACTTTTTTTCTCCAAGCACCCGTCTCCTACAGAGGATCTCGCTTCCCTATCCGAACCTACTTTTTCTGACATCCGATCCTACATGGCATGTGAGGCATCACCTTGGGGCCATGCATTGGCCATGCCCTTAGAAGCCTCCACTCGTTTTTTTTTTCTGCGAGTTTCCCCTATCGGCTTTTTATTTAATTGTTTAGATATTTTTTGTTTTTTATTCGTTTATCAAATACATGTCGACTTTAAAAAAATACAAGTTGACATTTTTACATAATATATATGCATGTGGCTATCTATATTGGGTATTTGTGTGTTTTTAAATTTGTCTGCTATGATTTTTTTTCAATGTTTATTTTTAAAGTTTAGGTGTTGCAATGATCATATATGTTGTTTTAGTGTTGCTTCACTAATCAGACATTTTGCAAAAAAAAAAGAGCAAATAGTCCATCATTTTATCAAACTAGTAAATGTGTACGTGCAATGCACGTTAATTTGGAAGTATATTAAGTGCATGCGGATATTAAGTAGGATATTATTTACATGTTATTATGTGATTAGCACTATATTTGGCATGAAATTAACTGCACGCTAAACGTGTTGAGCGCTCAACATTGAAGCAGTCTAGGTCGTTGGATTGACATGATTTGATGGTTGAGATTAATTGGATCTGCCTCTTCGAATCTTTTTATATTGATATAGATATTCCAATAACAGAGCAAAAAACAACATTTGAATGAATATGTAATGATTTTTGTAATAAAAGAGTATTATCCTAATTACTTGTCTCATGTCTATTAGTTAAATGCATGTGTTTCCTCACCAGCATGTCTCATTATCCGATGTTTTAAACTGACATTCGACAGGATAGTATAAATTCAAAAAAATTCAAAAAAAAAACCTTGGCAACCTATCTATGTTTGTGTAGGAGATCATGTGTGCAAAATTTGAGATAATTTAGAGGAGGTCAAAGAAATTTGAATTTGAGAATGTGCTCCAAATGACCTTTGAGGCTAGGGTAAGCAGCCCCATTTGTAATCAATTTTTTTTGGACCTACTCTAAATGAGCCAAATATTTTCTATTAACACATATTCAATCTATATAGTGTAGATTCGAAGTCTCACTATTTTTTGAATTAATCTTCATATTTCTAGATTTTTTTAAAAATATGCTTTAATATAAAAAACTATTAAAAACAAGTTTAAAATATGGAAATGGAAAGCTAAGTTCAGATCCTTCTTATTCACTATGAAATAAAGCTTTGGTGATTTTTTTGATTTTTTTTTAATTTTTCAAAAACAAAAGGTAACCCTATCTCCTCCCCTTGAACTCTATGAAATATTGTATGTGATAACTCATATGTGTGAAGGTTTTTTCATGAAAATGATCATAGACTAAGTTTATGATTTTTGGTTGGTAACATGTCACATAAGACAACATTGTGCACAGGTTTTATATTTTCTTGATATTTTTTACTTAATGGTGCTCATTTGACCTCGGTCGTGCCAGCTAGGTTTTTTTAAATGTCTGTATACCAAGTTTAGTATTTTTCCTTGTTTGTGTGTCTTATAAAATGACGAATGACGAGGTTTCATACTTTTTTTATTCTTTTTAAATTAGTTATACTCAGTCAAAGCCTTGGAAAACCCGTTGACCAGCTCAAAACCCCTTTAAAACCCGTGGGATTCCGCCTAACCCTAACTCCGAACGTCAGCCGTCCGATCATACCCTGGAGCCAAGCGACAGCCCTCAGATGTCGTCTTCTAGAAGGAATTCGATGGGCAGGCTGCGTGCAGGCTCCGTGCCATTGGATCACATGGATGGCTCCGCATCATTGGATCGTGGGGCGATCCGCAAGAGGCGATCCTGTTGGTTGTGCTCGGCTGCTCGCCCACCACTGACTCTCCGAAAAAAACGTAGTTACTGGGCACACAAGGAAACCAATCTTTGGTTGGGCCGTCGAATTGCGTCTTTTTTTTGCATCGTTTGCTCTTTTTTTTGTGAACGTGCTTGCTCTATTTTTTGCATCGTTTCGAATTACACAATAATTGACATTGCCTAGAAAAATTAGGTTTTTTTGTTCAATACAAATGCAAAATGACCAAATTTATTTTTATCATGCAAAATGGCCACAAACTATTCAAAAATTGTCTCTTTTTGTTCATATTATATATATGACCACGGATTCCCACGCGTGTAATTAGCTTTTTTCTTCTTCTTCTTTTCAAACCACGGTTTCCCACGCGTGTACATTCCCGATACCGCGATGGGTGTGAAAACGGGCTACTTCACATTTGACCCGTTATTGCCATGGCGAAATAACACGTAGCACTATGTCTATTTAAGCCACCCTCTGCCTCTGCCATCCCTCATCCATCTCCCATCCTCTGCCATCTGCCCTTCTTGCTCTTCGACCCCTTCTCCTTCTTCTGCACACCCCTCAGCCATGCAGTACACAGGACCAACCTACCGCTTCCCACCCACTGTGCCGGAGAGGCTCTACCCTACCGGCGTGTACGTTGAGCGCACACTACATGTGTGGGCGATATCAAGGTGGAGGACCGCAACGGACTTCACCGTTCTTCCTCGCGGTCGACTACCGCCACCTCCCGCGGGGATCTCCAACGATGTTTCGCGTGGAGGAGGTCATCCAAAACGGGTTGGTGGTTGCTCTCATTCCCCACTTCACCAACACATTCGACGCCTTCTACCTTCTCGGCCGGGTGTTTTGATGTGGCTGCGAGTTCATCGCTTTAACCACCCACAACATGTTCACGGAGTACACCAACATCTTCCCCACCACGCCGCGCATGCACACTCTTCCGTACCCCATCGACAACGCCTCGGAGGAGCAGTGAAGGGCTCCTAGAGGAGGAGCGAGGCGGAGAAGGCGGCGACTAGGGTTCTAAACCCTTTATCTGTTTTTTTAGTCTATGTTATGTTAAGTTGTAATTGAACTATGTTGAAGCTATTATGGGCTTGTTGGCCCTTTTATTAAGTTTTATATCTATTCTATTATTAAGTTCTTCCTAGTTTGAACTATGTGATCAAGCTTGGGCTTGTTGGCCCTATCTACATATTTGTTAATTGTTTTCTTATAGAGCTCGCTTTGTTAGTAACCACCTAGTGCATGCAGCCACAACGAACCCTTCTCTTTTTTTACACAAGTCACAAATATGTAGCCACCTAGCTAGTGCATGCAGCCACAAAAATATAAAACATATTGTTCAATTTATTTGTCGTAGCAAAACAGGTGCAGATGCGAGTGAATCAAAAAGGCTGAAACTGATCTAAAAAAACAATGCTCTAAATCAAGGAGACAAGCGTGTGAGAAGAGAGGAACCAGCGGTAGCGACCGTTGTTGCATCTGTGGCGGATGGCGTGCACGAAAGCGGCTCGATCAGTGCATCGTGGCGGCATGCATCGATGCATGCAGGTTCGGTCGGCGCATCGTGACGGCGTGCACCGATGCATGCAGGCAGACTTGCTCGGTGCATGCATAGCAGGCTTCTGTTGTGGCGGCGCTCAGCGACGCATGCAGGCAGACTTGCTAGGTGCATGCATAGCAGGCTTCTCTCGTGGTGACGCGCGCAGGCGTTTAATGCAAGGGACACCCAACGGTCGAACAGCGACACCGCCCAACGCGGCCCCACTTGTCAGGTCCAACGGACGACACAGTCCAGTGCGGCCCCACTCGTCAGAGTTAATGGTCAAGCCATTGACCCGACGACAACGTCCGTTGTGACCTGTTCTAAGAGCAAAAGTCCGGATGTGGGAAAAAGTGAGCAAAAGTTAAGAGCGCGAGATGAATGAGTAGAGCTAAGAAACCAGGTGCACAGATGTAAAAAAAAAAACCTTTTATCTATTATTACTTCAACTATGCATGTTTCATACAACCATGTCAGTAAAATATATTGCAATTTATTCCTGCGGCGACGCGTGAGGTATTCTGTAGTAGTATGTATGATGCATACCCAACTAAACCAAAACAACTATTACCTCTGATCCATAACAAATGTCGTAGTTTTAAACTAACCTCAATTCAAAACTACAACACTCGATTTGGATTGGAGGGAGAGTACAAAACATTTCTCACCACGCTGCGTGGTGAGCAATCATCAATTATTAAAGGGACTTCCGGCAAAAAAATCAATCATTAAAAAGAACATTTCTAAAAAAACTAATAATAATAAAACAACTAAAACATCGGGCGCGGCACAGCGGGCAGTACAAATATGCGCCCGGCCGGCATATAGACGCAGAAGGCGCGAGATCTGCACAAATATAAATCTTGAGCTGGTTGATTCGAGGTATGGCGGGGGTGGTGCAGAGCGTGCAGGTGCTGGCGTCCTCGCTGGGTGCGCTCCCGCCGGAGTTCGTGCGGCCCGAGCACGAGCGGCCGCCCGCCACCACTTTCCGCGGGGCCTCACCGCTGCAGATCCCAGTGGTCGACATGTCCTTGCCGGACGCCGGCAGCCGCATGGTGGAGGCGGCGAGGGAATGGGGGATCTTCCAGGCGGTGAACCACGGCGTGCCGGCGGATGCCGTGGCGGAGCTGCAGCGCGTGGGGCGGGAGTTCTTCGCGCTCCCTCAGGAGGAGAAGCAGCGGTACGCCATGGACCCGGCCTCGGGGAAGACCGAGGGCTACGGCTCCAGCGTCCAGAGGAGCCCCGGCGACAGGAAGATATGGTCCGACAACTTGTTCCACACCATCTCGCCGCCGGCCGCGGTGAACCACGGCTTCTGGCCGGAGAAACCTAGGGGGTACCGGGAGGCCAACGAGGCGTACTGTGGCCACATGAGGCGGCTGACGCGGGAGGTACTGGAGCGCCTCTCGGCGGGGCTGGGCCTGGAGGAGGGCGCCATGGCGGAGGCGTTCGGCGGCGGCGACGACGGCCTGGTGCTCATGCAGAAGGTCAACTTCTACCCGCCGTGCCCGGAGCCGGAGCTCGTGCTCGGCTTCGCGCCGCACACCGACCTGTGCGCGTTTACGGTCCTCGTAGCCGACGACGTGCCGGGCCTCCAGGTGTCCAAGGACGGGCGCTGGTACGACGTCGAGCACGTGCCAGGCGCCCTCATCGTCAACGTCGGCGACCAGATTGAGGCAAGCTAACACTCCATTTGTTCTTCCCTTTGATCGTACCGTCTCGTCAAGTGAACGTCCGAGAATATGTTTGTGGCAGATCTTGAGCAATGGGAGGTACAGGGCGGTGCTGCACCGGGTGACGGTGAGCAAGGAGAAGACGCGGATGTCGTGGCCTGTGTTCGTGCATCCGCGGCTAGAGTACGTCGTCGCGCCGCACCCGCGCCTCGTCGCCGGCGAGATCCCTGCCAAGTACGACTACAAGGCCAAGACGTTCGAGGACTACATGTACTGCAAGATCAACAAGCTACCACAGTAATCGATCGTCGTCCATGCATTGCTTGCACGCATGAGCACATGTTCGTAGTGATATCAACATTCACCTCTGCATGCAAGCTTCGCTATTCAACAAACAATAATCACGCTCATACGCGAGAGATCGTAATAATATTATCATGTACAGTACTATGTAAGTTTAGATTTTGGGTCTTTTCTTTTCTTTATTTATTATATCTTCATCGTGTGGTCGGTGTGAGTCAGTTTCATTATCCTTATCAATCATCACCTCGCACCAACCAGCCCCAGAGATGGAAACGCCGCAGCTCCCCTGATGTGGCAGCCGCCTTCCCGTCACTCAAATCCATTCACTACTCCCACACACCCAGCGACATTGATTTGACATCCTAACCATTATTAATGGTGGTGAAAGTGATGAATGGAGGGGGGCATTGTCTCTGTTTTTTCTAGAACAGGCAGATTTGTCTCTCTCTGGTGAGCATTGGATCGTCTTCACGTGCTGCGGTTTTCCTCTCGGAAGTGTCTATTTCACATTCAACTGAAAACGAACTGACCTTCAACAACAACAAAATCAGCCAATAAAACATGAAAATTGTATATATGAAACAGAGCTGACATTCGACTGAAACAAATTTGTCATTGCTCACAAACTTCAACCCACTCAATTCTTGAGGACTAAAAGCGAACCATTGAAAAAAATCGAGGCTAAGATGCAAAAAACAAAAAACAGCACATCAGTCATATACAACTATAAAACGGTAAAAACAAACCAACATGTAATTGTATGGTTAGAAGGACAGTGATATCCACAGCCGACAAGAATTCAAGCCCTAGAGTTGATATTGTTGCTCGTTCTTTCCTGCATTTATTCAAACCTTCCGGCGATCCGCGTTCAGTGGGAGGAGACGTTCCCATCGACTACGAAGGCGTCTGCGGCGACTACGTCAATCTCAATATGATGTCCGGCTCAATCTCAATATATATATAAACACTAACAACATTAATTCTGAGAGGACAATAATGAATAAAAAATTCCATGCTGGTATGGAAACAATTATAATAGTAATTCAAGTTTAATTGTAACAAAAATAAAAATTGTAACTTCGTACCTCAAAATTATAAAATCTAAAAATCAACAACACTAATTCTCACATAACAATAATGAATCGCTAAAAAGAAATTAGAATCTAATTAGAAAAGGAAGCCTCGGACATAGACATAACCCAAAAACAAGAAGAGACAAAAAAATATGGTTAGCATGAAAATGATATAACCCAATATATAAAAATTCAAAAACTATAGTGAAGGCGAAATGATGTAGTCGTGACAACGCACAATCGAATAGAAGGTGAAAAAAACGTTAGACAACTACTCCCTCCGTTCCTAAATATAAGTCTTTTTAAACATTTCAAATGGACTACAAAATACGGATGTGTGTAGACATATTTTAGAGTATACATTCACTCATTTTGCTCTGTATGTAGTCACTTGTTGGAATCTATAAAAAGACTTATATTTGGGAACGAAGGGAGTAATTGTTTTGCATGAATCACATTGTGTGATCTGAAGACCAAAAACTTTGAATGAAAGCAAACTGAAACCAGTCAAATGAAACTTAGCGATGATAAAATGGTACGAACAAATCAAAGTTGTTGGATTTGTTAGTTCTTCATTCACTGTTGTGTGAGTTGAGGAGTTAACATTGTGCGTTAGCCAAACTTAGGCAAAACAAAAGTGATAGTTGTATTCATGAAACTGAACTGATATTTGACCAAAAACAAATTCGACATTACCCGAAAATTACAGCACATGACTAAGAGTGATTCATCGGGTGAAAAAAAATCCACGCAAACATGCCAAAATTTACAACAGTACATCAGGTTATTGTTGACACCAGATTTTGGCATGATCAAAAACATAATTAAGAAGGCCTCAAATGGAAAAGTGCTCACAGTAAGAAAGTTTCATACCGTTTAAAGGAGAAGCTTTGATATTTGGGCCATACCCATCCGGTCTCATCTCTAAGGCCGAAGTTGTGTTCGGAGTACTGAGATTTACTATCCAGAACACTATTCGGCTAATTACGCTCCCAAGATCGCCTTATATGAGAAACGTTTCTACACGAGTTGTCTTCGCCTTGTCGAAATTGTCGATTTTTATATAAAAATTGTCTCAATCGGAGTTTGTATGTAAAGTTAGAGGCAAAATAGTGTGCTGCGAAAATCTGCCCCGGAAGTTCCGGGCAAGTTCCGGGGAGGTTCCGGGCTAAACCAAAAGTTTGCACGCGGTGCGCCCCGAAACTGGAGTTCTAACATTATTTGTAGATTTGCAGGCCCGAATTCAACCTCAAGAAGACCTCGGATGAAAAAGTGAACAACTAATTCCATTGTAAGATCTACAACTTTGCTTTTGGGACCATCGCGATCCGACGCCATATGCGACCTGCAGGAGTGGTGCAAGAGGGCTACTTGATGTAATTTTAGCACGGAAGTTCCGGCCCTTATAGTCCAAGTTAGGTTAACTTTTGATGTTCTGGACAGGATTTAAGTCCTTTTCTTGTATGGAAAGTCCAGCCGGCTCATATATATGTAAGAGGTGACGGCCGATTGAACAACACACAATCGATCTATCAATATATCAGTTTTTACCTTTACCTTTATCTCTCTCCCTCGTTCTTCTTCTTCCTCGTTCTTCGTTCGTTCTTCTAGTTGCAGGGCGGCGATCCACGAGGCCCTAGGGGCGATCAGGTCGACCTAGGGCAGGCCATAGCCGTCGTGCGTCTAGACGGGGTTCCTCCCGGGCGTGTGGGGTTTCAGGTCCTCAAAAGTACCTGCCGGATTGCTTGCGTACCGCCCTTCCTGACAGGTTTTCTTCGACGTGAGCTACGGTGCATCATCGTGGGCGTTGGAGGTACACGATGACGTGTTCGTGTGCGAACACACTTTTTGGTGACTCCGCTGGGGACGAAGCTTTGAATGGTCTCCAGCCCGTTTTTGCTACGAAGAGATCGTCATCAAGTTGTTGCAATCTACAAAGGTAATATGAATACCCAATTCCTCTTTGTAGATGCAAATAATTCATGTGTTGTTGCTAGATCACCTAATGAGCATAATGTATCGGCTAGCCCTTGTTTTATCAATCATGCATTTAATTACGTGCAAGGGCCGATGCAAAATAATCTTCATACTTCAAATTCTCATGATTTTAGCAATGTGCAACATATGTATCCTAACTCTCATGCATCGGCAACCCTAGAAATCCGTATGCCGATGAACAACATGATGGGTTTAGGTAATCAATTTGAAACACCTCATGTTAAAATTTTCAATAGCATACAAGAAAGTGTTTCACCTTTTTATTCATCGGCAACTAATTTGCAATATGTGAATGGCCATGCTACTAGTAGCTATTCGGCTAGTTACTCTCAACCATCATATGCTACACCTCATGTTAGTAATTTTTAGCACCGTATGCAACTGTAGATGTTCATAATTCGGCCCCGCATCTTCATGGTCATAGCCGAATAAGTGAAAATTTTACAGGAACACATGTGCCCTCATCAAATACTGTAGCATATAATGCATACTCTATGCAATTCAAGAATTTCGGCAACACTTACGAATCATCGCCGAAAGAATCTGAGAGTATTGCGGAGTAATTCCTTCCAGAAGCGGTTGTGGCTGCATTAAAAAAGAGCTTGGCACAAAACAAGAGAATCAGTGCTCTTTGTCTTGAACAATATGAAAAGGGGTTGTTTCCTGATTATGCTGCAATAAAGGCTAGAGTTTTGCAGGAAGATGAAACTTTATCAATTGATAGTATTGGTGAGGGAGCATATGGTTATACAATAGTGCATACACCTCCACCTAGTACCGCAGCATATTATCCGCCCCCTACACAATTGCAAAATTTCGGCAACACTAACACTTCATTACCAAAAGATCCTAAAAGCACTGGGGGGCAAACTAATCTAGAGTGGGCTGAAATTGAGAGGAGAGTTAAAGCTTTGCGTGATAGGGTGGAAGTACTTCACCAAGAGAGAATTGATAGGGAATTAGCTCAACGAAAAAAAGCCTTGCCAATTGATATAACCGGTGAAAAGAATGATGATTCGGAAACTAAAAGTGCTTTGGTTGAAAAAGCCGAATCAAGTAGTATATATTCCGAATCCATCAAATCCAAAGAGGCAAACATTGTCAAGAAAGGGCATGGAAAGTATAGCAAGACAGCCATACTTAATTTTTCTGAAGTTAATGGAACCTACTTCCTGCACTATGAGTTTCGTGCCATAGAAATTAACGAGCTTCAAGAACAAGGAAAAGTAGTCGAAGAAAGTTTGGTGGACAAAGATCTTCAAACTAATGATGCACGAAATCAAGAAAAAGATGATGACAAGGCGTTGGGGAGCTATTCGAAGGCGGAGCAAGATATTCTTCAAGTCACATCACCATCATGCTCTCCCAACATATTTGAAGAGGTATGTCTAGCAATTAATTTACCTGTTTTCAGATTTGGTCATGACTTAGTTGTTGATGCATATATTAGAAAAATCTACATAAGAAATATTGAGAGACCAATGAAGAAGGGTAATTTATTTGTTAGCAATCAGATTGTCACAAAGCATATCAGTCAACACATTGCACCATTCAGAAAGACCGATAGCGAAAAATTATTGCAACCAAGGCTTTCCTCATTGCTTTATCTAAAGCTCATATCTAATTGGGTACCTTTGGTTATTTCTTACATGGCTTACACTTGGTCTCAATTGAGACTTATATGTTCTAACTATTTTCGTTTCAGAAATTTAAAGGCAAGGTTAAAATCTCCTGAGCAAACCAATGCTAATATAATATCTTATCCAAAGACATTGGAGATGGAGTGGAAAACACAATGCATAGCCGAATGGGGAGATTCCAAATCTGAACCATTCGTTTGCTTATCTCCAAAGCCGTTCACACAACAAGATCATCTAGAAAACAAGAATTTTACCTTCAATTCAAGCATGTGTGACCAAATATTTGA